TTGCCCTTTGAAGATAATTTAAAACGACCCTAACGGCCGTAACCGTATCGATTTTGTTTACGTGAACTGTATTAGTTTTAGTTCGTTAGCGCTCCTGATTATTTCCCTTACCTCTCGCTCGTTATTCCCATAGCTAATGCTCAAATTAGGCATCGCCCTCAGGATGGCGACCAGAGACTGTATGGTGTTACTGTAGACGACCGGTCGATATTGCTTAAAGTCCTCACTTGTAAAGCCACTTTCGTGAATAATTCTGTAACAAGCAAATAAAATAGTCCAATTAGTTCATCACAATTAACTAAAATCATTGCATTAAATACGAAAATGTAAATGGTAATTAGCAAACATTGATATTGTAATTAATTGAGCAATGAACCAAATGCAATTGGCAATTAGTGTATGCAGCAAATCCGATTAAATATAGTACAATTAAATATAGGCTAATGCAATTATGAGTATGTACCACAACGCAATCACTTTTCAATTATGTAATAATAATAACAGAATTAACTAAATACTGAACATTTATGTAAAACTGAATTATTTGATTTTATTTTTATAATAAAAAGAAAAACGTAAATTTCTATCGATTTTTCTTTTCCAGTTTGTAATGAAACTAGAAACACAGTTTAAATTTGTTTAAGTAGTTTTATCCACTTGGGCTCTAGTTGTGCACTTGAATCGACGCTATTTATAGTAACGGGATAATTTAATTGCATTACTTATGGCTCTATCTAAAAACCCACTCAAAAGTTATTTTTATTTTCAATTAGAAGAGAAAAAAAAACGTTTGCTAATGTATAATTCAAGTGGAGGCTACTCTGGTCATTAGAGAATATTAATTAAATATATATATATATATATATATATATGTGAAACGTACAAAGGGAAATATGGATGTATTTATTATCATTGCCAACTTTACGAGCGGGCACTGAAGAGCCATAAAGGTTCAAGGTTCAATCGATCCGTTAGGACATGGAAAACGTTACATATTTCAGTTTTATCGTGTTTATCCCTAATTATTTCGATGGTATTTCTATTATTGTCGCTACGCTCTCAACCTTTCATCGCTGTACATTTGCATAATTTCAATATCGTTTGTTTTATCATTAAAATAACTTCAAAATTACTAACTATTCTTGTTGTTGTAGCATCCGGTTTACATAACTTTTATAAATCAGCTATTGTCAACCTTTTTGTACTTGTATTCCGACCAATTTGTTTATAAAACGAAACATTCTGTCGCAAAGTGACAGCTGTCATTTCACAACGCATAAGTTGAGACTCGGTGATATAAACACACGTACTTGATACATAATAGTAAAACAAAAGCATACAATTCAAATTACATTACAAATTTGACAGTCGTCATTTCTCGAGTCTAAGTTGAGAACCACTGATATAAACGCACGTACTTGATGATTCATATCCATTTTTTGTAATTGTCGCAAAATCATACTTTGAATATAAACCAAATTACATTACAAATTATAAACACTTTGACGGGTTTTGGCAAGATGACAGCTGTCATTTCGCGATCAATTCAAAAATTTGACACCGTACATTTTTTCTTTCTTGTCAAAACAAAAGAATTACATTACACGAACTAATCGACTGAAAATAGATTTTAATGTATATTAATAATACAATTATAAAAAAAATGATGAACTCTTTGGTACAATAAAAGCGTGCACATTTCAATATAGTTCAATTAAGAGAGAAATGTCCCAATTGAAATAAATTGGATGCAGTCGTGTGAAAAACGCCGAGTTTTTCTTTTAATATTTTCTGAACAAAATTCTCGTTATTTTGCCTCGTCCGTTTTCATTTATGTGAAAGATCAAACGAAACTCGACTACAAAAAAAAACAATTTTCGTTTCAAAAGTAATATTATAATTCTTACATTTTCATCAAAATAGTGCGGTTTCGATAAGTACAAAATTAGTTTTTTTGTTCATATAAAAATTTATCAATTTTTCCCTTCAAACTATACTGGTGGAATCGATTTTTGTAGATTTTTTTTATCATTATGTCATCAACGAATAATACAGATGGCGCCATAAACACGAACATTGAAACAGCATAAATATTATGAGATTCCAGATGAAAATTACTGAAATCATGTATCGTCATGGTTACTCATAAACGATGATTTAACATTCGTAAATTGATGTATTTTAAGAAATGATATAAAATGAGAAATTTGTCTACAAAATCAATAACTGTTAAGTTATTATTTTCCTATCCACTACTCTCCAAATTATATTAGTTTTTTTCTTCCAAAACACAAATATTTCTATGTTCTTCCATAGATCTTAAATTGTTACTGTAACTTAGAATATTCTTGCAGCTTACAAATTATGTTGTCTCTCCTTCAAACTTGAAACAAATTGAAAACCCGCAGACATTCATGCATAAATCTATTGAATACATATCTTTTGCATCTCTAAGCGTTCTTATTACGTTTCTATTTTTTAATATAAAATAATGTTATTAAATTTTCTACTTTCAATTTAATCAAAATATTAATACATTTTAAAGCTAACGCTAAATCTAAATATAACAAATCACTTTTAACGATTGTTTGTGTAATTTCAAGTATATTACATTAACATTAATTACTTCATACACTTTTATGCTTTTTTTGCAAGTATTACTTTTGTGAACACGTTAAAGTTTAACGATAAACACTGCAATTGATTTTATTTACATTAAAGATATTTTTAGACACAATCATTACCAGTTGAGCTTCAATTAGTCGACGTATTCACTATTTTCTTTTTGTAGCCTATTATTCGTTCATTGAATATATAACCTGTCCATTTAGCCTCCATTAGTGACCACTCATATTCCCAATTGATTGATGCCATTCGTCTGTATTCTATCTCTCTCTCTCTCTCTCACACACACACAATCAGTCCCCCCTTTTGTATTCGCTGCTCTCCATCAGCATAGACGCCCACTCGATTATTAAACGAAGCTCGGAAATTGATTCAATTGTTTTTTCCACCGCCAATTACGACCAGAAATTCATCGCCAATTTGTCTCCATTGTTGAAACACACGCACAATACGGTTTGATTGCAAAATTTATTCTCAATTAGAAGTAATGGCTGTTTTTCGTTCAACAATTTTAAGATTTTTTTTCTTACTCTTTATCATTGTTTTATGTTTACGTTCTGCTGACGTACAAATGCGCTCTTCATAAACAAATAATACCGGTTTACGTCATTGTTATGTTATTGATATAAAACAGATTTTATGTAAGGAATGTAAGCTGTTTCAACCAGAGATGTCGACAATTAAGTTGCTTACATGTTTTTTTTTTAAATTATTTTTATAACTTTAGTTGAAAAACAAACGTTCTGAATAAATCCACTGTTAAATTGTTTGAAAATAGCACGAAATTACGTCTGCGTACGTTAAGTGAACGTACTTTAAAGTGAATTCACACCAAAGTACATTTTGTCCACATCTTATTAATATATTGTAAGTTTATTTCAATAAGAAGCAATTTTCTAAACTGAATGCATTTTGATGATATCTTTGTACGTTCGTACGAATTATTTGGAAAGAGTCAATTCGAACTGAAATATGAAATGGTTTCAATGCAACGGAAGTTTTATTAAACTTATGGTAAAATATTTACGAAATCCGCTGGGAATAATCGCATTTTAATAGACTAAACAATGCATAAAACCGAGCATACTTTACGACGCAATAAATTATCCATTATAAATGTGGAAACGCCGCATTCGCATTTCCACATCGAACGTCCAGATGCAGGCAGCAGCAGCATTCATAATTAATGTCGGGCCAAAGACCGTAAATAATCAATCATTTGTACTTGTTTTCCTCTCCAGTCAATAGCCGAATAAATATGATTCGAAAGAGATTGAACGTGAAGTAGAACTAAATTTATCAATGAAACACAGAGATGATTGTGAACCACTACCACCACCACGAACGACAACAACAAGTCGCCTGCGATCCATTGACCTTCCTCTCTCTTATTTGACTCCCAGTGTAATTAGTATTAATTCCTTCATTCAATATTGTTTCAATTAATTGCGTCACTGTTCCGAAAGCTGTGAACTACTTTATAGTTTACACTTTAGCTTACAGCCTCTGCGCGTTCTTTGAAAGTCTCACTGACATTGACACATATTTTAATAATTATGTCAAAAGGAAGCTCGACATACGAAAATATGCATACCTTTGGTTTAACGATTGCGGTTTTCGTATTTACTAACGGAATTTATGATAATAATAGAATTCGTTAGACACTTTGCACAAAAAAAACGGACGTTCATACGCATATATGTACGTAATTTCGGAAAAAGTAGCTCCGAGAAATGTAAGTTTAATTTCTATCAATATAATTTTCATAAAAATTTAAGTTTCACAGCTGATTTTTTTGGCATGGAAACAAATTTAACACTAATATTAATGTACGTTTGTATGAATATTTGTAAATTAGTTCTGCTGCAACCGAATAAATCCAAATTTTACTTTTCTGTTAATGTTTCTTAATGATATTTTACAAAATAATTTTTAGAAAATTTTCAGAAATCGAACTCTTTACATTTAATATAAGAATGCATTTGTATGTATTTAATCTTAAAAAGTGTTTTTCTTTTTAAATAAAAACAGAAATCACGTGAATTGGGCTCGAATTTAACAACAATATTAATGTACGTTGTCACGGATATGTGTACATTACTTCGGACCATTTCAATTGGAACGTTCAAATCTTCTTTTTTTCTTGCGTTTCCAAGTTAATTCGACTTTTATATGGAGAAGCTGTAACTATTTTAACACATGTTGCCTGTAGGCTAGCAATTATACGAAATACTTTCGAGAGAGAGAGAGAGAGAGAAAAATAAAACGAAACGCTAAAAGTTTTATAGACGCAGCAGCTGCACTTGCTCCCATCGATTACTTTAAAATGTTTCTAGAGATTTGCACATCTGATGATTCAACATTTATTCACTAAAGCATTCGAATAGTTCTGTCTGAATATAAACGAAATAATTACAATAATTTTTAAGTTTTTGAAAACTTTTGTAAACGCAGTATCAATATCTAATTTATATGTAAGTAGTTATGTAATTGTATTTAGATTATATGAATAGTATTCGTATTTATGTATAGAAATGAATGTGTTTGTAAGTATATAATGTAATGAATGTAGGTTTTGGTTGGAACTTAGTTTATCACAGCGTACGGAATATTTGATTATAACCGAAACCGCAAGCTTCCCGTCGCTCGCAAACTGAAATCAATTAATACCCCAGTTGCTTCTGGGAATTGAATCACGAGCATGTTAATTGCATTATTCCCTCATAACGCGTGGAATAATTGCAAAAGATAGTTTGTGGGGTAGAAGATCAACTTCGACGAGTGATGAAGCCGGAGATTTGACCCAAAAAAAAGAAACTTATTTCTGTGTGTTATATATAATAGGAAAGTCAGAGATCCCCGTAGGATAGAATATGTTTCCCCCCCGTATTATTGATCCGACGAAGAGTTCTGCGCAGTTCATGAAACCACAGTGTTGTCCTGCGTGTGCCGCCACCCTCGATCCGACAACGAAACGCCCTTCACGACCAGAAATGAACAAATTCTAACCATTCCCAGCAAATCCTTGCAGAGAATCCTCATGAGCATCCTCTCAAGATCGATGGAGTAGCTGTTTCATTATGCATGAGATGATTTCTAAGGCAGGAAACTGAAACTACTTGTTGATAACAAGCCGGGATGAGTCTGTTAATGCGAAATCAATACGGTTTGTGCGCAAAAATAACGGAACTGTTGCACGCCGCCACGTACGTACGTCCGGCGGGTCTTTCCGTTTTCCTGTTTCTTGAATTCAACCCGTTTCCACGGGCAGGCCAGGCAGTTGCGATATCGATCGTTTCAATTATTCAACGCCAACGCGGAGGATCCTGGCAAACCCTCGTTCGTAATTCGTGTTGTTCGAATAGACTTCGCGCGATATACCATAAATTGTTCGAAACTGTGACATTTATGGCGATACCATACGGATAGACACCAGATAACAATATTTACCAGACACTACGCAATTCGCAGCCGAAAAAAAGATACATCGATAATGGTTTTCATTACCTAATAATAAACGACCTAAAACAATTTTCAACATCACACAATAGAACTGTCAAATTTCATAATTAGTTTTACTATGTGTTTCTCTAAGCGATGTAATATACAAATATTTATACAAACGTACAATTAAATCTTTCAGGCCAGCGTTTCTCAACCTTTTGGTACTGTAACCCAATTTAATGATTCCGTATCTCCCGACCGGTTAAAACACTGAACTTTCATCTCTAAAATGAGTCTAAAATGAACTTTGTGTCTTCTAGGAGGTCCAAGCAATTCAATGATTTTATTTCTAATCAGTTCCTTACTTTGACAGCTGTCATTTCGTGACCCACTAAAAATGTTAATGTGTACGCGATTTTAGATTCGACCGAAAATTGGTTTGCGTTTTTTTTTTAAATTACACAAGAGAACTGTCAACTAATCTGACATAGACATATAACCTTTTGATTATTAGTGACTTTGAACGTCCATTGCAGAGGTTCACAAACGGTTGGAAAGTTGAAATAGGCGGTGCTGGAAAGTTTGAGTGTTCATATTTAAAATTAGTCTAAAATGAAGTTATAAGCAATTCAATAATTTTGTTTTCAACTAGTTCCTCGATTTGACACATGGTGACAGCTGTCATTTCTTGAGTGTCAAAAATAAGCCAATTTAGGTTCGCGACCAAATAATGTTTCTTCCTGATTTACAAATTCAAAGAGATTAACAATGAAAGTCAAATGAAATTTGCTGGAATACTTCTATAATTCCGTCCTAAAATGCATAAAGATGACGAATAGCTAAGTTATTTCATAATTATTTCGTTTAATCAAGCTGAGACCGGAAATTTAGCAATGTTGAATGTGAATCATTGACGAACATCGACATGCGGTTTTCTTCAAACATTCTTCGAACTTGAGTATTTCCACAACGACGATTACAATTTTTCATTATGTGCAGTACTTTATTTATCATCGATTATTAATATAAAATTGAATATTGCAATTAAAAACAAAAATATTATTTACTACTTACTTCATTTGTTTAACTATTGTACTCTTCCCTGATTCACCAGCACCTGTAACAAACACAAATAGAATTAAATAAATAATTTTGTTGTAAATGTTTTTCAATGCACGCAGAATTTTAAGCTAGAAGTGAGGTTGATTGATTTTTTTTTTTGTGTAGGAGGAAATAAAGCAATTGAAAATTTTGCGCGAATCGAATAGTCGCAACGGATTTGATAAAGGGGGGTGATCGTGAGGAAACGGAAAATCGCTTATCCGGCCAATTTGCCCACCGTATTTCCGGTTCCGTTTCCAAGGCACGTCGAGTGTAATTGAAATACGCCTGGCGCCAAAATTCGATCGCCGCCGCCGCCTCCGCGATATATATTGCTTACGGGAGAAGAAAAAAAAATGAAAGAAAAAACAACAACATGAGACTGTGATTTAGCTGTTTCGTTTTTTATGACCTAAACTAAAATTAATTTCGGTGAGAATTTATGAGCAAGATATTTCTTCGAAGCTGTAGCGAAAACACAGCATTTCTTGTCAACGTAATTTAGTTTGGGTTTCTTAGAGGAGTTTTTTTTTTAAATTGAGACACGGTTTTAAAACTCAATTTACGAGAATTTAATATTTAATTTAACATTTTCATCTTCCACTGCATTTCTGTGATGCACCTTTCTCAAAAATCACAGCATTCATAGAAATTATATAAATAGAATGTTGACAAAATGATAATGACAAAATATATTAATAGATAATAATTATAATCACCAAAATATAATTATCATGTCGTAACTAAATCGAAATCTCTTGTTTTCCAAAACAATTCTCATAATTCAATATAACTTGAATAATATTGTTTCCTAAATATTGGTTTCTTTATGCCGTTACCAGGATTCGAACATGGGTACTACGGCCACAACGTAGGGTCCTAACCACTAGACGATCACGCCGAACTTGTCATCCTATCTTCCAATTTCCAATATATATTCACAACAATATTCATTATATCTTGACAATATTCTCTCCAAAACATTGGTTCTTCATGCCGTGACCAGGATTCGAACCTGGGTTACTACGGCCACAACGTAGGGTCCTAACCACTAGACGATCACGGCTGATATCTTCCAATTTCCAATATAATTCACAACAATATTCATTATATCTTGGACAATATTCTCTCCAAAACATTGGGTTCTTCATGCCGTGACAGGATTCGAACCTGGGTTACTACGGCCACAACGTAGGGTCCTAACCACTAGACGATCACGGCTTGATATCTTCCAATTTCCAATATAATTCACAACAATATTCATTATATCTTGCACAATAATCTCTCCAAAACATTGGGTTCTTCATGCCGTGACCAGGAT